GCCCATCGGCCCCTGGCAGGAGAGCTGCAGCCCCCAGGCAGGGCTAGGTGGGGGAGGTGAGCCCGCCACCGGAGCTGCCCGAGCGGCTTCCAGTGCTGCACGTCCCATCTCCTGCGACTTCAAAGCGGTTGCTGTGTGTCTCTGCCTCAGGAGAAGCTCCTGCCCTTTGTGAGACGGCCGTGAGCTCCTTAGTGGAGCTGGGACGCCTGCGGTTGGTGCAGCGCTGCAGCAGCGAGCGGGCCGTGCTTCTTACAGGCAGCGGAAGCTGGGCTGGGACCAGGGAGCTGCCTTCACAGGAGGCGGGACAGGACAGTGCTCCCAGGTAGGTGGAGGGGCGTACGGGGGGCCAGGCGGGGCCACCCTGGATGCCTCGAGTCCCTGGGCAGGACTGCGGAGCGGAGAGGTGGCCTAGAGCGGGCACGCGTTGCCCAAGCTGTCCGCTCGGGCCTGGAGCCCACTGGTTTGCCCCGGTTCTGGGGATGTGGTGGCCTGTTAGACCTGGCCTGTGCCATAGCTGCTGTGTGCTTGTGGGGAGCCAGAGCAAATACTGAGCATGCTGTGATGGCAGTGGGGCGAGAGGCTGGCTCTGGGGGCTTGGGGAGAGAAAGGGGCCGTCGTGCTGCCGTCTGTGCGTGGAGCCGGGGTGGTGTGCGTGGCATGCATCCCAGGACCCAAGCTCATGGGCCTTGGTGGCCGTGGTGCCGTATGTCCAGAGCCACCTGTGCTCAAAGGAAGGAAGACACAGCAGTACAGACACTGAAGAGCTTCAGCATGTTTGGCTCTGGGAGATTGGGGTGAGGAAGTAGGTTGTCTTCCTGATAAGGAAAATGAAACCGTGTGTGAGTCACAGCAGGGCAGGGGGTGCTGGAGCTGCTAGGAGAAATGCGAGGGCGTGGGGAGAGCCCCTTCTCTGCAGCACTCCCAGGCACGTGCTCATTCATGCGTTCCCTGGCTCGCGCTCGTCAGTGCACGCTCTGCTGCCTGCCACAGCCCGGTGATCGCTCTGTGTGTGTAGCAGGATGCGCTGCTGAAACATCCCAGCTCTGTCTCCTGGGAGACTCTGTCGCCCCGGAGGACACGCAGAGCCGCGTGCTGTTGTGGGGGTCTGTGTCCCCTTCTTTGGGGTTGCCTTCAGCAGGGACCAGGACTTTCGCTGGCCTGTGTGCTCCAGCCACGTTTGCAGAGCATGGGCCGAGGTCGCATGAGCGTGCGCTGTGGATGGTGGTGACGTGGCCTTGCCCGCCCGACACCTCCCCGCTCCCTGCAGCAGCCGCCTCGGAGCTCCCCTCGGTCCCCCTTCCCGGCGGGCTGGAGGGAGCAGAGCCCGTCTGCCTCGCTCGGTAGCGGTGGGCTGGGGACCGAGCATAGCTGCATGGGGAAATCTGAAGGTCTGCCTGAGGGCTGCAGTATCTGGGGGTGGCTCTGGCAGGGCGAGCACTTAGTTGGGAAAGCCCGCTCTGGGCCAAGGCATGTGATAGCCATGCAAAGCTCGGGGAGACAGTGAGGATTTCGCTGAGTGGAAAGCCCAGCTTCCTCTGCGGTGAAGGAGAGTTCCTCTCGCTTTCTTCTCGTCACCATTCAGCAGGCTGGCCGCAGTCAGCTGCAGGACAGGCAGTGCCCGCTCGCTGGGGAAGGGTCTGCCAGCTCGGAGCCAAGCCTTCCCCAGGGCGGCTGAGCCGAACGCGGGTGCGAGGGCGGCTTTCCACTCAGGTTAGCAGCTGCTGTAAAAGCAGGGTAGGAGGTGCTGTGGTCGGTGCAAGAGGCTCTGTAAAGCAAGGAGCTAATGTAGGTCTGGACTGACTGCAAACACTGCGGGGCCTTCTGTGGCACGGGTGAAGGGAAATCTGAGCAAGGGGCTTTTAGGAGCCCCGTGGTCTCCGTGTGTGAACAGCAACGCTTGTCACAAAGGTGCCATCAACCCACTTAGTGCTCTCTGATGCATTTCCCTCGCAAAAGTGACACAACTACAGACAACTGCTTACAAGCATTACACGTGAGAAGATGGTGTTTTATTTAACTGTTTATTACAGTTCACATCAAAACTTTCTAAAAGTTTACCAACACACCAGTACTACAAACTATAGTAACAATAGATGCGTAATCTGTTCACCCTTATTTTGCTTACAGATTTTCTCTGTACCTTCTGAACGCTGTAAGAATTTTACCCACTGACCATTTCTTCGGTAACATTTCTGTGTAGGAACACAGTTCCCATCAGAACCGGGGCTGGGGAGGTATTTACAGTGCGTCTGCAACGGGTTTGCTCACTGGGACAACCATGGAGATAGCAAGGGAAGGCTTCAGAGAATTGCTCTTCCGCTGCTGCACGTACGTGCTTGGACAACCACGGTCGCCATTACCCGCAGGTTTCAGCTTTGAAGGTGCAGCACTGCAGGAAATGGTGGACTGCGCGTTGTATAAAAGCCTTATGCTTGCAGCGTTTTCTCCTCGAGTCGCAGTTTGAGAATGAGCTATTGAGATCTCTGCCTCAGCTGGACTGATGTAATGTGACCCCTTCTGTAATGACTGGTCTTTTTAGCAGGGCCCTTGGGTACGGTGAAGTTCTGCTGCAGCCGAGCCCTTTGTTAGCAGGTTGAACTTCAGAAGTGAGTTCAGCACAAAATTCCTGCTGCAGCAGAAAAAAAACCTGCTGCAGCAGGAGAACTGACATTGCTCCGACTTTGCTTAAAAAATGAGGTGAATGGTACAGTGGATTTTAAAGAGTGCTCGTGATTAGGGTCGCGCTTGTGTGACAGTTGGCACGTCTGGCTCTCGTACAGTTCAGGCCACAGCAGCACTTATCTAGCAAGACAAATGTAATGGAGCAATGCTGCGTATGCTCTGCGATGTTAGAAAGTGGCAAGACCTATGAGGAAGCAGCAGGCTGCCCGAGCGTGTTAGGGCTGCCCTGCAAGCCAGCTTGCGGTGCAATTATTAATGACGGTAAAAGCTGCCACTCGTGTTTTGGACCAAACTGTTATCAAGCGGCCCTGGGTACTGGTGGTTCAGGGCAAGATCAGCGCCCGGGTTTGTTCTGTGTAAACCCGGATGCCCCAGACCTCTGGAAGCCCCTTAGATGCAGCCGGAGCAAAACTATCGGAAAGCACAGAGCAAAGCAAAACGCAACGTTCCCTCTCAGCGCGCTAAAAACAAACAGAAATTATGCAGACGAGCTCTTCTCCTTACTCTGGGGCAATGAGTCTCCTCGCTCTCAGAAACTACAAAGTGCTGTACAACTAGCACCTTCAGCCTTGCAAAGCCATGTGGTTCATCTTCCCTGTGCTCCGTCACAGGATAGAAGCCATCTCTCCAGACAGCTTTCTTCCTTAAAGGAAAGCTTTTGCATAGTCAGGCATTCAGTTCAGCAGTCACTCGACAGAGCTCTTAACAGCAGTAAAACAGATCAAGCGAGTGGGAAAGGATGCAGTCGATGTCAGGAAAGGAAGCTGCGACAGTCAAATCTTGCAGTCCCTGGCAGGACCTCCGGACACCAGCCAGGCTGGGAAAAATCAACATGCCGTGGCTGGCCGGGGGGGAAGCTGTGCAGCAGCAGGAGCAATACTGCAGCCACAGACCGGCCAGCACCCTGCGCCCGTGCTATCAGAGTGAGGTCTGCATCCCTCGCCAGTCCTACCTGCATCTCTCTTTCCAGCTGCCGTGGCCGTTGAGTCCTGCTGCTTCCTTCGGGCATCTCTCTCATCAACCTGAGCCGGTGAAATGGAGACCTGCTTAGCTTCTGTCCTCAGTCCTCGCTCGCCGACGCGACTCAATGTTTACTTGGCTGCGCTTTTTCCCTCACCCCTGGCACCCCCAGTCTCGTGCCTGGCTCCGTCCGCAGGACTCCTGCCATCGGTTTCTCAAGGGCCGGGTGGAAACGTCAGGTTCAACTTGCTCGGGTTCATCTGGCCCTGCCAGAGTGGCCATCGCACAGCCAGCATTCGCCAACAGCTGCCAGATGGATTTCTACAGGTATGAGAACCAGGGGGAGCCAGGGAAGGTATCTGGTGGGATTTGGGTGTTTGGTGGCTGTCGGACCTCAGTTTCCTGAGGAGTGAGGAAAGTGGTAGGGACGCTTGCGAAACTTGGGGCTGAGGCCACAGCACGTGCGCCACTGGGAAGGCAAGCCCCAGGGCGGTTCTGCCCTGCAGGCAGTCTTTCCCAGCTAGAAAGTGGAGACAGAGGTGGTGTTGTCAGACTCGATCCCACTGCCCTTCCTCGTCACCTCCAGGATCTTCTGCAGGGTCTCCTGGCTTATGCAGCCAAGCTCCTGCAGGATCCGGAAGAAGTCGTTGCGGAACTTGACGCCAATGAAGGCGTAGAGGATGGGGTTGAGGCAGCAGTGCGTGAAGCCGATGGCCTCTGTCACCATGATGGCCGTGTCCAGCTGGTCTTCCAGGAGGCAGTTCTTGGTGAAGGCTTCTAGCTTGGTAAGCGTGTTGAGGAAGATGACAATGTGATACGGGCTCCAGCAGAGCAGGAAGACGCCTGTGACCAGGATGGCCACACGGACAGCTTTTTGCCTCTGTAGGCGCTGGGACTGACACAGAGCCCGGACGATGGCCGTGTAGCAGTAACACATGACCAGCAGGGGCACAAAGAAGCCCACGGTGTGGTAGAGGAAGCGGGTCGCTAGCCAGACGTTGTTGCCGTCGATCCCAACCTCTGGAAAATAGCAAATGCTGCGATTGCTGTCGTCTGTCCAGACTTCCATGAAGATGAGATCGGGTAAGGTCAAAAGCAGCGAGCAGAGCCAGACAGCCGCGCAGGTGAGGTGGATGGAGCGAGCTCTGCGTTTGCGGTAGGTGTGGATTGCATAAACGATGGCCAGGTAGCGGTCCACCGCAATGCACCCCAGCAGCATGCTACTGCAGTAGAAATTGATCTTGTGGACAGCACTGAGGATCTTGCAGAGGAACTTCCCAAATACCCACCCGGCCAAGCTCTCCACCACGCTGAAGGGGAAGGTGAGCAACAGTGCCAGGTTGGCCAGGGTGAGGTGGAAGAGGAAGTTTTCCGTTGTAGTGCGAGACCTCTTGAACCTCTCCAGAATGACCAGGACCAGGGCATTGCCCACAGTCCCCAACACGAACATCAGCAGATAGATGAGGGGCATGAAGACCTTTCTGAAGGGGTCTCTCTGGTTGCCGACCACGGATGAGGCTGGGTTGAAGCAAAAGTAGCCCTCCAAAGAAGGGGTGGTGTTCTCAGCTTCATAGTAACCGCTCAGCTCCACCTGGCTCTGGGGAACAGAGAGAGTCTGGTTACCAGAGGAGAACTTCCAGACACGAGGACCCAGCCCCTCAGCTGCGCCTGGCAGACCTGGAGCCGTGCATCCCCATGTCCCGCAGCCCGCCTGCAGCAGGAGGACGTGCTGCCTGTCTGCAGCGTGAGGACCTGGGAGGCCCCTCTGGTGCTGCATCCCAGGAGGTGCAGCAACAGCACGCGGAGAGGGTGGTCTCAATCTCCGACAGCCAGTGCTGCTCAGTCTGTGGTCTTTAACTAGCGGATTGGGGGATGTCCTGGTGTCCAGACAGATGAGCGGTTTCACCTTCTGGTTCTCGCTGAGCCATCTGCTGCTGGTTTCTGCTTTCTCACACAGCACGGAATCCTCCTCTACCAGCTTTCCTGATCTTTCCACCTGTTTCTGACACCGACTGTCCCCATCCTGCCTGCTGTCAGGTAAGAAGCTAGTGGGATTCACCACAGAGTACAACTGTGCCTCAAATTATGTGCACTGATTCTGTGCCCCTCTGCCTCTCCTCCTTGGACACCTCAGAGCTGCCTGGGGCAGAGCAAGGCAAGGGAGGAACAGCAGCAGCCGTGCTCGGGATCGCTTTCCACATGCTCAGGGGAAGGCACGGGGCGGGTGTTCAAACACCACTGAAGGAACGCCTCTGAAGTGCCACGGTGCCGTAGCTACAGGGAAGCATGCCGGAGAGAAATCTGTTCCACTGGTAAACCTTGCGGTCTAAATTAGTTGCAGTCAGAGCAGGAAAGGGAATCTGAAAACAGAACTCGGACCCCAAGCTGAGACCCAGTGAGGAAAACGCGATGGAGCCGCGGCAGATGTGGCTCGCCCCTGGCGTGCCGTAGCTGCTTGCCAGGTGAGCAGCTTGTATTCGGGCTGAGACTGCGCGCAAGCCTCGAGTGCCGGAAAGCTGCAGTTGCGCTCGGGACGAGCCCTCTGAGTGGTGGGCACGCTCCAGCTGGCCTCAGGCACTTGGCAGGAGCTGGGCGTTCACAAAAGCCAAGGGCTCAGATGCAGACGGGCAAAAAAAGAGAGCGGCACAGGAGGCTTGCGGCAAGCTGAGAAATTGGTGACAACTGGGAAGAGCTCGGCAGCAGTTACCCTGAGCTCCCCCACCCACACCCTCTCTGGAGACTAGCGCCGAGACTTCAGCGTCAACCACAGCGGAAGTCTCTGCTTGCTGCTTTCATACCTTTCACTGCCAGCTGTAGCCGTTTGCACCTGCCGCTCCTTCCCTCGCTGGCCAAAGTTCCCATCTAAAAATACTAGCCCTGCTTTGAACAGTTTTAGAGCTTATTTTGGGGAGTTTTTGCTCCCCCCCATGCGCTGCTAACCCAAATGACCGTGACCAGCCTCGACTTCTGCATTGCGCCTAGCTAGAGAAGGGTGATTCGTGTTTCTTCTCTCTCGGGCAGCCTTCCCTGGGCGACGTGCTGGGTGCCTCTGAACACATCTGTCTGGGGTAAAGAGGGACATTGCAACAGCAGTGCTCATCTTGAACTGCTGTGCGGCTGAAACCATCTGCATGGCTCCAAGGGGAGCCCAGGCATCTTGATGGAGAAGTCGTCTACGGAGCATTACTGAACATGCAGAGCAGGCAGCTGGCTCAGGCCATCCCCGAGCAGTGGACGGTCGGAGGGCAAGCAAGTGCTTGGGGAAAGCGCAGAAGAAGCTTGCCCAGCTCTCTCCCGCCTTTTCCAGTTTTTTGGGTATGGTTCTGGAGACTGGAGGTTGCTGCTAAAGACAAAAGCCTTTCAAAATCCCTCCCAGTTTTTCTCCCTGGCTTGACAATATTTTCTGCCCAGTCCGTACTGGCACCCTGCATCAGCGGCTACCAACAACACGCACCGAGACCTGTGATGTGTTGGCCAGGGCCAGATCCTGGAATCTCCCACCCCCAAAACCAACAAACAAAAAAAAAAAAAAACCCAGACCAAAAACAGGCATGACATGGGAGCTGGAACTAGATGAGCTATAATGGTCCCTTCCAACCCAAACCATTTTATGATTCTATGAAAAACCTTTGCAATTTGGCACAGCAATGAAACCAGGCTGCTTGGGACACATGGGTGACCGTGGTCAAAGAGAACATGTGTTGGAATGGGCAGCTTTGCTGGGGAGAGGTTGGAGGGTGCCAGCTTTAAAGGGACAAAGGAAATGATGGGACATGGCCGGGTTTGCTGGCCGGCGTGTCGGAGCGCTGCCTGGAGCCAAGCCAGTGCCACCGATGACAGCGGACAGGCAGCCTGCGGGGTGTTCGATGGCTTTGGCTGCTGAACAGTTGCCAGTATCACCTTGCTTTCGGAGCCGGAGGTGCAGAAGCTGAGTGCCACTATCAGACACCATCTGATTGCTGATAAGATGGCAGGTAGGGCTCTTACTGTAAGCCACTCGCCACGGGCCGGGGAAGCGTGAGCTGAGCCGTGTCTGAAGCGTCTTCTCATGTGCATCTCTGAGCAGAGCAGCGGGTGTGGGTGGGAGCGGACAGAGATGAGTTGGAGACAAATAAGAGAGGATGACAAGTCAGAGTCTGGGCTGAGACAGGAAGGGCAGGGACCAGAGCTGCAGGAGATGCACTGAATGTGACAAACCAAGGCTTCTGGGCACTTTGCTGCGATTCCCATTTCTAGGACTGGAAGCGGGCGGCTGCCTGGTCCGGGATGGGAGAAGTCAATAATGTGCGCGCAGGGGGACCTTTGTGCAGGTCTCCTGCAACACAATTGCAGCCAGATTTTGGGGGTGGGCGATAAAGTAGTGACTTTTTCTGTAACTGAGCTGTCAAGTGCATGCCTGGGAAGCCCGTTCCTGTGTGCTCTTTGTTCGGGGATCCCTCTTCCCCTCTAACCCATATCTCAGAGTTATTCCGGTCTGCGCGTGTCAGCTGCTTTTCTCAGTTCCCCACAACTGCCAGCGATCAAAACATTTGGCTGCAGAAGAGAAGCAGCTTGTGCACTATTAGGGATTTTCCACCTGAGTCGTTCCCTTCTAGCCCATGCCAGGGCTGTGAGAAGTCCTTTTTCGTTCCCAGAGCTTTGAAACTGCCATTGCCCACGTCAGTGCAAGTAACTGACAGAGCTTCTGCTCGTCTCCTCTTCAGGTGCGGAACTAGGGAAACCCACGAGTAAGAGCAAAGCCTGTGGAAATGTCACGTTATGGCATCATAGGTGCCTTTCCATGGCTCTCGGGTCACGTTAGTCCCGTTAAAATGAAACCTGGCCTGCAGCACCCCAGGGGACCCGATGGAGATCTCGGCAGTGTTTCTACAACTGTGTTTTTGTTTCTCTAGTCTGCAGCTGAGGCAGGTTAAGTGGGCAAAGCTTTCTCGCTACGGAGAAATGGGGTTATCGCTTTGGGCATGTTACTTTTCCACTAGGTTACAGAGACGAGCGATCGGTCCCGTATGGTATCAAAGCTTACGTGAGGCCCTTGCTGCACTCGCAGGGCGATACTGAGATAAAAGCCCTATCAGTGCAGTGTTCTCATTATTTTTCCTTCCACAGTTGCTCAATCGGTCAAACGATCCCCTCTGGTGAGTGCACAGGGCAAGGTTTGTGTCGTCGCTTTGACGGGACGCCGTTGAGGCCTTTTTTGCAAATCTCTGTGGCTAGGTGGCAGCTACGAGCGCCAAGCGTAAGTAAAGCAACCTACGGCACCACCAAAGCAAATGTGGCATTGCTCGTGTGAGAGCTGTGGCCTGTTGCAGGGAGGGAGCCAAACCTGGGAAGCTCCCGGGAGGCAGAGGTGGGAAACGAGTGTCAGAAACTCTGGACCGCGGGAAGTCTGAGAAAAGGTATAAAACTGTTCTTGCTGCAGCACCTGACTGTCGGTGCTCGGTCCCAAAGTTAGCCGAGTTTCCCTCCTTGCACGGGTTCTCCTTTATGACTTAAAATAATTCACAGCAGATGGAAAATTGCTAAGCTAAGCTGCTGGAAAGTACTGCATACAAAGAGCAAACCCCAGTGCTGCCTAATCCCCTCGCGTTAGAAAAGACACAGTTTTGCCACAAGCAGCCGCTTGCTTACAGTACGTGACACGCTGTGGACACGCTTCACCTTTGCTGGTTTCCTGGTGGTGGGACAGATTTCCAATGGTGAGTTCAGGAAGGAATGAACCAGCATGGAGAAGAAAAAGGTTGGAGTTTGGTTTTAACCTCTCGGCAAGCATTAGCGCTGCCACTGAATTTCAGCAGAGGTCAGGGAGACAAGTGTCCCCTACAGAAAAGTTCTAAAGGAAATGACCTCCGTTCACAAAGCACTTCTATACTGGATGAATAGGAAAAAATAAGGAGGGTATGGCTTGCCCCCACCATCTCCTCTCTCTTCCCTGGTGTACAGGACAAAGGAGGGACAGAAAAATTGGTGAAAATTAAATCCAGCGTTTCTCTCTTCATAGAAACTAAACAAAACCTGAGGTCTGTGGCAGAGAGAAGCTGCATTAAAAAATAAATTCTGAGCTGCAACATTTGAAAAGTGGGCTAATGATAGCACTGCTGCGGACTTCCCCTTGGATAGCACAACATACTCTAAAAGGTGCAGCTGCTGTCTTTCACTTGCAAGCACTGGGAAGAGAACTACGGGGCAGAACACAGTGTCATCGCTCCCAACCAGAAGAAGTACTTGCAATTTATCTTCCCCTCTTCCCAGTTCCTCTCTTGTAAATATACTGCCTATTCCCCTTTCAGCAGAGTCTATGGCAGCCTGTTCGTGGAGAAGGCAAGCAAGGTTGGGAGCGTGTATAGTCATACCAAGGGTTTTCACACGCGGAGAGACAGCGTTGGGTTTGCTTGGGTATTCCTGTTAAGTAAAGATACTGGACAAGATTTCCAGGGCTTTGCACACTGTGCGCACAGTCATTTATACCACCAAAAGGCGCCTGACTCAGAACGAGTGTTTTACACCCCCGTTGTGCCAATGACTGCGCAGAGAGCAGTGCAGCAGGGACCAGAGACTGGGACACGCTGGCAGCGCGGGACGGGGCTGCAGCAGCCCCGCTTTCCCAGTGAGCCGCCTGGCCCTTTGGCAGCAACAGTGGTCTTGGTCCCCACGTGAGGACAGCGCTCAGGCTCAGCTCTCATCAGAATGTCTGTGCATGAGGTCCTGGTCGTTAGGCAGCTGTCCCCAAGGGAATACCTGGCACCCTTGGATCACAACGGCCGCAGCCACATCAGGCCGGCTCTCTATGAGCGCAGCGCTGTCGCCTGCAGTCCCCTCACTGGCCAAGTCCGGACCTAAGGGATGCAAGCGCTCATTGCACCGGTGTAAGAAATCGCTCAGGCTCTCCCTCTGCCAACAGGAGGGCGAGAAGACGGACAGATGGAAAGAAGGACTTTCAGCCCACCCCAGCTCTACCTGGTCTCTCTGTTATCCTCTCAAACAAGCAAAGCCAGGCCCGACTCACCAAGTCATAGGTCTCTGATGAGTAGCTGACGGGCCCCATGGTTTCAGGGAGCAGGATCCGTCTCTCCTCCAGCAGTTTCAGCAAAAGTTCTTCTTTTTTGGGGTGGAGTTAGTCCTTTAAGTGAGAAGGGAGGGACCCAGCCTGCAACAATAGAGTTTTTGCAAGGCAAATGAGCTCCAGGCATAGAGTGACCTAACTGATGTACAGATTAGCATCTAGCTTAATCATCTTTTTTTTTTTTTAATTATTATTTTTTATCTTCTCTGTGTTCACACTTGAGTGACACGATCGCATCTAAAAATTCCTTAAACACCCTTTCAAATTGCGTATATCTTCAGTACACGAAGCGGAGAGATTCCTGGCACTTTTTTAGTGCTGTAAGTTGATTTTTCAAGCATGGCTTGAAGAAGCCACGTTCCTTTGGTCTGTACCAGAGAAGATCCAGAACATCTCTCGGTCTTCCCTGGAAACCTCCAGGGCTCTCTCCCATGGCCATCACCGTTCCGGGTGGTCCGAGAGGCTTTGGAAAGCTCTGCGCCGAGGGATACCCTTACCAGAAATCTCCCCGGATCTGGGCACCTCTCTTGGAGCTGTGCAAGACTTTGAAGACACCTGAGATGAAATGCGTGGGTCTGGTCTGTATGACCATTGCCCTCCACCTCGGGGTCCTCCTGGTTGCTTTAATCTTAGTGACCTGCGGACATCTTCTTCTCCTTCTCCCGTTGCTTCACCCCTCGTCTCGGGGGGAGGGGGGTGTGCAGCAGCTGGAGCAGAAAAGCACGGCCTCGGCAGCTGCTCTGGAGGTCTAGGGAAGGGCACTAACTCGGAGAGTCTGGTCTGCTGTGTACAACGCACAGGGAAGCCCCTTGATGAGACACCTTGCTGCAGTACTCGTCTTGCCCATGACAAAAATAGGAAATCAAGATTTCCTCCGCTCAGAGAAATGGCCGTTTTGTCCCAGTAGTGTCGCAGCAGTAGATTCGCAGTGTGAAAGCCCCAGTCTGCGGCGGCAGGATAGCACGGCATCACAGCTGGCATTTTAGCAGAAAGCATTTCCTCTATGAGGAGCTGAGGCTGTTCGACAAGCACCGTGCCTGTCCTCCTCTTGTCTGGGCACAGCTGTACCAAAGCCTCTGTACCAGCAACGAGTCTGGTGGAACTCGGACCAGTGAAGAAGGCAGCAGCGTTATTCTGGTGAGCACTGTTTGATTTCATCCGCTCCTTAGGCTTGTTGGCAGGACCCTAGTGATCCTGACTTGACAGAGGACCTGCTGCCCCAAGGACGTTCATGTGCACCTGTGCGTGCCCGCCCGATGTAGCAGCCTCTGGGCACCCCTCATCCCAAAAGTGAGAGGATGGAGAGCAGAAGAGCCGAGGGAGGGCACGGGGAGCTCGCACTGTGCCTCACGTCCCCTGCCTCGTGGGGGGAGTACAAAACAAGCGAGCTGTCTGGCACGGCTTGGCTGTCTGAGGCCCTGCGCTGCCTGGGCTGCGGGGTGAGGCGAGAAGTGGGGTACCGCTGTGCCCGGGAGACGGAGAGGTCAGGAAGGATGTTTTCACTCAGCTAGAACTAGGGGGTGGAGCACTCAGCATCAGAGACTTCCTTTAAGGGCTAGCAACTAGGGTGCTGCTCCCGTGGCAGGGTGTGGTTGGGACGGGCTCCTCCGTCTGCGAGATGGCTGGAGACCTTCCACCAATGCTGCCCCCTCCAGCTCCAGCTACCCGTGAGCAAAGCAGAAGTACCGTGCAAAGTAAGGTACTGCGAACCCCTAGGTGACGGTGATGCTGCAGAACCTCTCGGGTCAGAGGGACAGCGCGGGATGCGGCCACGCGGAACTGTAGGCTGGCAACGCTGTTGTCCCCAAATCAGGGTTCTTCACCCGGTGTGCAGGATGCCATTCAACACACTGGGTCAAGGTACTTGTCTTTATTGCTAGTCTGCAGAGTGGGGTGCTGGACATTTAACACCGGACAGCACACCTCTCAGAAACTGATGGGGTCTTTTATATAAAACAGTAGGAAGGAAGAAATTACTCTAAAGCAGGTGACTGGTCACTTGTACAAAAACTTGTTTGCGCATGTCCCAGTTTTTGGTGCAGCTCGTTATGCTAGGGTGGCCTTATATTTACATATAAGGTCTCCTCCTAGGGGTGCAATTTTTAACAGTATAGTTAAGGTAACTATAGGATACACTCTTGTCTTGACTTCGTCTCAAATTCAAGTGCATGTATCTAAGTCATCAGAAAGTCAGAAATCTACAGCCTTTCTTGTCTCAGGGATTTCTGTGCCGCTGTTTTTCAAAGTTTTGACTGGCCCGAGGTCGGGTCCTCCTCCATCGGTTACACAAACCTACATCGTTGCCTAATCTGGAATCTCAAATAACTTTGAAACCTTTTCCTTCAACATCAGCATCTCCCAGACTGTGATCTTGGCTCTCGGATGAGACGTGGGAATAACGAGGGCTCAGGGGACCCCACTCCAAAGCAACAGACGTAAATGATTTCGCTTGCAAACACACACGCCACACTGAGGAAATGACTTCTATAGTACAGACATTACCTACGGGATCCACTTGTTGCTGTAACGTGAAACATGAGAAAGATGATAGCGAGAGAGAAGAGCATGGGAGAAATGAAATTTAAATGAAAAAGTAGTGTCACTTTACAGGCAGGTAAGGAACTGACTATGGGAGAAAATTGTCGCAAAATTGAATAGTAGATACTTGAGGAATGTTTTGGTGTCTGTACATGGGAGTTCCTGGCTGAACTCTGATTTTCTGTCATGGGTACACACTCTCACTGGAGAACCGTTCTCGTTTTGTCAGGAACATAAAGTTTTGTTAACTTGTGTACAGTATTGACAATAGGAAATTATTCAGCTTTACCTAAGGATGATAAAATGCACTGCTTGTGGATGGAGATTCTCTGGTCTGTAAACCTATGTGACTGACAACCACATCTAGGCAGCGGTCGGACAGGACACTGACTTTCTGAGCTCTGCTTGAGAAAAGCCAGGTTGCTTCTGGCTCCTCAATCTTCTCACCTCTGATATTTCCCTTTGTCTTATTTGCTGTTACCGTAACTGAAGCTTTGCAAAGCATGTGCTGCCTCCAGATGTTAGTCATATTTACTAATCTGTTAATTTCTGTCATCATTTTTGAAGGTTGGAGCATGCTGTTTCCCCATGCATCTCATTGCGAAGGGCGATGCTTAGCCCCGCGAAGAGTTGAGATGAAACGCCGGTCCCCACACAGCAGAGCCAGAGCGGCAGCAGCAGGCGCCGGAGAACGAAGGTCATGCCCAGCGTGTGCCTCTGACCGCGGGACTGGGGCAGTTGAGGCTTCTCCAGCTGTGACTGCTGTGCCCTTGTGCCAACAAGCAGCACGACGAGCTGCCACCGCAAGAAACAGGTGAGATGCAGTTTTTTGACTCCCCTGGCATTTGAAGGCACAACGCCTGTCTTTGCAGGTTCCTTTTTCTCTTGCTGGGAACAGAAGCATTAAAAAGAAAGAGGGGCAACAGGTGGGCGAAAGGCTGACGAGAGAGCTCTGCCCCAGGGTATGGCAGTTCAGGACACGGCAGCAGTCCCACAGCACAGCAGCAGTTAGTCTGGGAGCGAACGAACGAAAGAAATTGAGGATGAGGCTGTGCTGGTCTTATTTCCCACGAGAACCGGGCAGGAATATGCGAACACCGGGAGGGTCGCCAGGCCTGATGGAGGGAGGTGATTGTGCTGTGGCTGGCAGAGGAGGGAACAGTGTGGCATCTTCCTCCCGCTGTGCCCTGCAGGCCTCTCACGGCACTGGCCCCGGGCGTGCGTTTTGCTGCTGAGGGTGGGTATAAAGAACGACCCAAACACGGCTGTAGGTGGGAGGAAAGAGGAAAAGCTGGCAATGCGAAGGGAAACAAATCGGTTTCCCTGTGGTTTTGTGCCTATTTTGGAAAAGCTTTTAGCAAAAATTTACTGCCTAACAGTTTCGGAATTACCAGCATTTTTTGGCTGGCGTTTTAAAATTATATTCCTGTTGTGCCTCAGTTTTGTCAAAATCCTCATCAAACCAACAGCTGTCTAAACAGGAAGTAAGCATTTCCAGCTTGCCGTGCTCTGCGGTCACGGCTCCTGCATGCCGCAGGTCAGTCTTGTCATACGTTTGTGTTAGCTGTGTTTTAATGACTACGTAATGAAGCTGCGTTAGCTTTCCGGGCTTTTTCACGGGCAACGGGAGTGCTTTTGTTATCGCTGTTACAAGGTCTGAGACGCGTGCTGCTTCCGGGCCAGAGCAGCCGGTGGCTTCTCCCTTTGTCCCGATGTGTCCCCCGCTAGTTTAGAGACACGTCAGCAAGCAGGAGCGCGTCGGTCGCTGCAGGCGCGGGGGCGCCCCACCGCCCACAGAGGCGCCGGGTGGCACCCC